ACAGAGCAAGCCACAAATAAGCAGCTGCAGGGACAACCCCCCCCCCAACGCCAGTGACAGAAATTTAAAAAAAAAAAAAGTGAATTCATCTATTTACAGTTTCTAACACTTCACCACGTGGGAGCAGGACCGCTGTGCATCTCCAGCAGCTTTCTGCCCTCCCCGCAGACAGGGATGGAGGGACGAGCTCCCCGAGGCAGGACGCACGCTCGGACGCAAGAAATGCCAGAAATACCTATTTTGAGCCTGATTGCAAAGAAGCAGCTACACCACAGCAGGAGGGGGGAGAGAGCTGTGCCCCCGCACCAGCATTAACTGTAATTTGCCCATCCTTCAACCAGCACCATTTCGAGGCAATCAGATTCTTGCCAGGATCCTTCACCTCCAAATAATTAAGGGCGTGTAGCACGGGTGCCAACCTACCCACCAGCTTATTTCCCTGCCCTGAGGAGCAACTTGGCACAGGCAGCTCGTGTCTTCTTCCTCCTGATCCCAGCTCCTCCTAAAGCCACCGCAAGTTTTAAGGCGGACGTTAGTGGGAGCTGGGACAGACCTCGGCTCTCCCAAACCTGGGAGAGATTCAGCCCTTGAAGAGAACCCCTTCAGGCCAAGGGAGAATCATAGAATCATCTAGGTTGGAAGAGACCCTTGGGATCATCGAGTCCAACCATCTACCCTACTCTACCAAGTCCTCCCCTACACCATATCCCTCAGTACCGCATCTAAACGGCCCTTAAACACATCCAGGGATGGTGACTCCACCCCCTCCCTGGGCAGCCTGTTCCAATGCCCTATCACTCTTTCGGTGAAAAATTCTTTCCTAATGCTCCATCTAAACCTACCCTGTTGGAGCTTGAAGCCATTCCCTCTCGTTCTGTCACTAATTACCTGCGAGAAGAGACCAGCACCAACCTCTCTACAGTGTCCTTTCACGAAGGTGTAGAGAGTGATAGGATCATCTAGGCTGGAAGGGACCTTCAAGATCATCTAGTCCAACCAAAAGAATCATCTAGGCTGGAAGATGACCTTCAAGATCATCTAGTCCAACCAAAAGTCCACCAAGGTAGCCAGTATGGCTGGGTCAACCCAACAGCATCGGGATGGTGGTGGGCACTGGTGGACTTGGTGGGGTGGTCCTCGCCTGCTGCATCACTTCATCACTTCTGCATCCCCAGGCTCATCACCTGGTACCCAAACACTCGCCTGCAGCTGTAAAGCAGCATCACTTGGGGCAGGGCTGGTCCAGAGCTCACTCAGGGCATCAGAAGGGAGACTGGAGCCCCTTCAAACCTCCCTGATGCTCTGGTTAAAATGCAGAAGTGGTGCTGGTTTTAGTCCTCCCCAGTAAGGAAACACTCGGTCAGGCTCTGACTGGGACACAGCAGCTCCTCACAGGAGCCCCTTCAAACCTCCCTGATGCTCTGGTTAAAATGCAGAAGTGGTGCTGGTTTTAGTCCTCCCCAGTAAGGAAACACTCGGTCAGGCTCTGACTGGGACACAGCAGCTCCTCACATGCCTAAAATTCCACATGGCCCTGAAAAAGAAATTCACATTAGAGCATAGAACAGTGATTTTAAAAAGCAGCACAGCCACCTGCAAAACACCACTATTAAAAATAATAATCAAAATTTAAAATTAAATAATAACAATAATAATAAAACCCAAACACTACGCTCTTTCTGCTACCATGCCTAAAATTCCACATGGCCCTGAAAAAGAAATTCACATTAGAGCATAGAACAGTGATTTTAAAAAGCAGCACAGCCACCTGCAAAACACCACTATTAAAAATAATAATCAAAATTTTAAATTAAATAATAATAATAATAAACAAACCCAAACACTATGCTCTTTCTGCTAAAGGAGGGAGGAGGAGGAGGCTGGAGCTTACAACTCTAGCACGTTTTATTTCGTGTGTAAATTTATAAAGACAACAATCCTAGTCACGATTGTCACATTGTACAGCACATACCAATACAGCGGCAAACAGAACTCCACGCAAAACTAAGCGCTAACAGTAGCTTGAATCACTCTTCCTGCGATTGTCGTGTCTAGACTAACAGCATCACACTAACACTGAGGAAAAAATAGTTCACTATAAAACAGTGATAGAACGTTTTTATAAAATATATTCCATTCCGATAGCTTTTCTACATACTGTATACTATAAAACTCTCCCACAAAAATTAGTGTCTTTAAATATACATATTTAATCTGAACTGCACCAAGATTAAAAACAATTAAAAATATCAATGATTTTTTTTTTCTTTTTTTTTTTTTACATTAACTTCACAGTATTTGTTTGCAGTAGAAGACAAATCCAGTGTTTAAAATGCAGAGCAGGACTGTCCCCTCCAGAGACAGCAACCACCCCGCAGTGAAATAGTTGATGAAGAACCGAGCCTTAAGTGTGCAACGTTTTTAGTACTTCTCTGTAGAGCCATGAACCGTTTGGAAAACACGCTCCGAGCTATTGCAACTTAAAAAAAAAAAAAATTAAAAAAAAATAAAAATCAGAGACACACAGATAGCCAAAAAAAAGTCACCTTAAGAACAAAAATAAGTGCAAACATGTATTTTTTTTTTTTTTTTTACTTTAGAAATTCAAGCTATGAGGAGTGGGAACGCAAATACCAGGCTATGAGAACAGCGTGTTCATGATGTAGTAAAGAATGAGAAAGTCTTTTTTTTTTTTTGCCTTTTTTTAAAAAAAAAAAAAAACAAAACCAAAACAAACCTTTTGCCCCATATTCACTGCAGTACAGAGCATGCTCATAGCATCAGTTCAATGAATTATTTCTACACTAAGATCAGACACAAACTTGTTTCAACTTTTCCCTGCTCCATACGCTAACGGTGTTCTTATGGCACATCCTATTTTATGATCTTCTAAAAAAAAATAATAATAAAAAGAAACATTAATTGAAGACTGAAATGCAAAAAAAAGTGTCACAAGAACGCTAAATTAAGATTACCAGCTTCAGTAATGCTGATGCTAAACTCTTTACATGTTGTTCAACATGCAAAACCCACTGTTATAAAATTTAAAGTGAAGTGTAAATTAACTAGTTTTCAAATAGATTAACAGTAATAATTCCACTTCAAAAAAAAATTCTAATAAATACTATATCAAGTATCTTCAGGAGAAAAAAAATAACTTAATTTTAGTAGAAAGAAAAATAACTTAATTTTAGTAGATTTTGTTCAGTGCTATTTCCAATCACAGCAAAAAGAAAAAAAAAAAAAGAAAAAAAAGAAAAAAAACTGATTAAGTAGAATAAGACCACAGTACCAAAGCCACTTATGTTCAAGATACAGTACTCTCCCACAACTTTCATATGTAACAGGTTCAGCAAAAATATTTTACAGTCGAGAAATTAGACTGAAAACAACAAAACCCAAAACTATAAATAGAAGCAAAATTTCACATTACATGTACATTCATAGTTTAAGAGATGAATAATAAGAGGAGGCTGTAACAAGTATATCCTGATTTTCTTTAAAAAGAGGAAGTACTTATTTAAAAATAAAATAATAATAAAAAAATCAATCCCATATTATTTATGTAGGTAGTGCTCAGTTTCTGGACCAGACGGGGAAGGCATTGGGAAATTTTTTTTCTTCATAAGATGAAATACAGTATTTTAAGCACAATTTTTAAACATAATCTAACTCAGTGCTTCAAAATTCATTTGAAAATAAACGCTTAAGTTTCACAAAACAACTCCAGGAGTGTCAGGAAAGCTGGTGAAGCAACGTTAACGCAGCAGAACGACATTCAAAACCCTCAGATATTATTATTATTATTATTATTTCAGTCCCATGTATGTGTACCTTGAATGGGTAATTTGACTGGCAGGGAATAATCCTGTATTTACCAACATGCACAGACCAAAGGATGCCCTTCTATTAGGCAAGTAATTGAGTTATTTGGAGTGAAAGGGGTTATAGTCACAGGCAGCCTCAGTTTACCAACAAACTAAAAACAAATAAACAAAAAAACAACAAACAAAACGCCTAAAAATACCCCAAAACCTTCCCTGAAAAGGTGGGACACAGGGGGGGGGTAAAAGTTTGGCCACATTTTCCCTCCAGCAGTTTATCTTCACACTGCCCCTTCCAAACACCGATGATTGCACTGGATCTGACCCAGAGGGAATGACCAACTTCTTCAAAAAAAAAAAATTAAAAATAAAAAAATAAAAGGAAATATTAATGAAAGTAATTCTGAGCTGCTGATTTCAGCGTAGCAGCAAACTTTTCAGACAAGATGGCAGGGCAACCCTTAACACACACGATATGTTACCTTGGACTAAGGCACCCCAGGAGCCTGATATCTAGAGGGGTTATTTATCCGCTTTCGGGCTGCTGTCCCCCCCAAAAAAGGGGACAGGATCAGCCCCTGGGTGTGCATATGGGAATGAAAATATTCACGTATTAGGTGATTTTAGGTATGTCCTAGCTCGCATCCTTCAAAACTGCGGGAGTGAATACGCTGCAGACAGAAAGAGGATCTTCCATCCACGTTTTATACTCAAAAGCAGCTTTTCAGCAGGTCCACGGGGCAGGAAAGGGTGGGAAGGGAAAATTTAAGTCAAGTCCCAAAGCAAAACCTTCTCATTCAGATTTTAGGACCCATTGCAGGACTATTCCAATATAATAAAGAGAACACAAAAATGACCAGTACCAAAGATGCAGCCAGGGATCCTCAACCCCCCCTATAATTTGGGCCAATTTAAGATCTCATCTGGCTTGAGAAAATCAGAGTGTGGCCGCTTACTCTGGGATATGCAGACAAGTTCCTCTATGCTGAAATGTATTTAAATCATAGTTCATCTCTTCGGATGTTTCTACGCAACACGCAGAGAGCATGAGGGGAGCTTAATGGAATCCAAATTTTTTCTGCAGAATTTGCTGATAAGCTTTTTTCAAACTGAGAAAAAAAACAAAACACAAAACAAAACCCAACCCAAAAAAAACCAAACAAAACAAAACCCAAAAAAACCAAAACTCAACCAAAAAAAAAAAACAAACCATGAAGCACGAAGCAAGTACTTCCAGCCTGAAAACAGATGCTAAATCACTGCAGAAATACTTAGCTCATTTCACATTAATAATGTAACATGGGTGCGCGAGAGAAGACCTAAAGGACAGGGCTGGGCAGGGAGGGTGGCAGGGGAAGGGGGGGAGGTGGAGGGATTGCATTAAAAGGCCTTTGGAGTGTATACCTCTGCATCTTTTAAAGATCATATACCTGAAGTGAATATCACCAAAATAAAATAAAGGAGGGGGTGGGAGGGGAATAAAAAATTAAAATTCGGATGCTGCCTTTTTTTTTTTTCCCTGTTTTGTTTTAAAAGGGTGGTGGGAAATAATTAAAAAAATAAAATAAAATTAAAAAAAATAATCGGATGTCTCAAACAACCAAGGACTTTACAAGGCCACAATGAAATTTGCGGATGTGTCTGTAGAGATCTCCGGACTGGGTGAAGCGTCTCTCGCACCACTTGCACCCGTGGGGTTTCTCCCGGGTGTGCACCACGGCGTGGCGGCTGAGGTTGTGGGAATACTGGAAGCTCTTCCCACACTGGCCGCAGGTGTAGGGCTTCTCCCCCGAGTGAGTCCTCTCGTGCCTCTTTAAGGTGTACATGCAAGAAAAAGTCTTCCCGCAGAGGGTACAAGTCGGGACGGACCCGTCGGGGGACAAGCGGGTCCGGGAGCCGTCCTTGTCACGGAAATGAGAGCTGAGGTGGAGCTGGAGGATGTGGGGGCTGGGGAACACCTTGCTGCAGAGGGGACAAATGCAGATATGGCCTGGAGGCACCAGGACGCCCGAGGAGGAGATATCTGATGAATCCATGTCGTCCTCGCTCTCGTCTCTCTCTTGATCTATATCCTCCTCCCGGGCATGAGAGCTGCCATTCCCCGCGAACATGTGTCCTAACCCTGTCACTAAGCTTTTGGCTGAATTCCCAAAATGCTGACTCTCCGGACTGCCGGCTTCGCCGCCGTCCTCCTGATCTGACAGCAAGTCTTGTTCGTCTTTAACAAGTGGCTGGGTACCCTGCTGCTGGCTGTCGGAAGCCAGCTGTCCAAAGACATAGGAGGGGTGTAAGGAATCTCTCCCCGGCACGGGTTTGAAAGACAAATCCAGCGCGCAGTCCCCATCGCTGGGAGCCAGGGGATGGTTAACAGACCTTTGGGACAAAGGTCCTGTGGAACTATTGACATTAGCCTTTGTTTTTCCAGCTGCTGCGGCGCACGGTTCTGCCTCCGTCGGCGCGGAGCTGACACTGAGATGATCAGAGGACCAGGCGGGGTGGCTGCTGACCTTTTCTTTGCCCGCCGCTCTCTCGTATTCCCCGATGCCGAATTTGGGTTTGTTTCCCGGGTCGAACTCGTGGACGGGGTCTAGAAAACGCTCCCCTTTCTCCAAACCCGCCACCGCCTCCTCGCTCGCCTTCTCCTCCGAACCCAACTCTTTATCTTTCAACTTGCCCTTGCAGACTTTCACAATGTCATACATGTGAAGGTAGCTCGCCGCAGCCAGCACATCTTCCACGGGGAGGCTGTTGAATTCCAGCTTCCCCTCGTACATGAATTCCAGCAGCAGGCTGAAGGCAGGGGCCGTGACAATGTCACTGTTCAGATGCACAATATCCCTTTTGTCTAACTGGTCCCTGTAGAAAAGATGGAAGTACATACTGCAAGAGGCGAGGACGGCTCTGTGAGCCCTGAATTGAGCTTCTCCAACTAAAACAGTACAGTCACACAGGAAGCCCTGGTGACGCTGCTGACTCAGACACTGCAGCAACTGGCGGCTATGGTCTGGAAACTCCATTCTTCCTTCATAACCTGTTCAAAACAGGAAAAACTTGAATGCTACTGTAAACTAAAGCCTCCTAGCAGCTGTAACAAACAGATAGGCTTTGGGGTAACACAAGCCAAAGAAACAGCCTTGGAGATAACGTTCACTGTTAATTGTCTGTAATAGTTTTATTGGGGAGGGGGGGGGGGGGGGGGGGGGGGGGGGGGGGGGGAAAAACACCTGCTCCGAACAGGAAAAACTTGACTGTAAGTAAACAAAAAAACTAGTAAAGCAGCAGCCCCTCCAACCTTTGTTTCTTCCACTGAGCACGTTAATATAATTAAAAGGAGGAAAGCACACACTAAAAAAAAAAAATAAAACAACACCAAAACAACCAACAAAAACCCCCAAAACAACAGCATAAACTCTCAGGCTGTCTTCCCAGCAAGGCAAACTCGGGGCATCTTTTAATAAAGCGTGTTACCCACATCACACACACACACACATTTAAACTTTATCCTCAGTCGTTATGCACCCAAATCACAACAAACCAGTCGCGCTGGCGCTGGGGGAGCGGCGCTTATTTTGCGGGGAAGGAGCGGGACGGGGAAAGGAGAAACGCCCCGCACCCCCCGCACCCGCATGCAGGAAGTTACGCGGGTTGGGGGG